CATCAGTGACTCCCAGCCCCGCCGGCACAATGTGGGTGGTGGTTTGCGCTAGGGTAGCTGTAATTACAAAACGTGCGGGGCGCCTGGGGGGCTCAGTGGGTTGAGCGGCTGCTTCCGCTCAGGTCATGATCCCAGGGTCCTGGGATTGAGTCCCGTGTCGGGCTCCCTGCTTGGGGAGGAGCCTGCTTCTCCCTCTCCTTCTGTCTGCTGCTTTGCCTACTTATGCTCTCTCTCTGTCAAACGAATAAGTAAGTAAGTAAATAAATAAATAAGTAAGTAAGTGCATGTAAGGGGGCGGTTGCACGGGCTCGTCATGGTTTATGTGTCTCTCTTGTAAAGCATGGAGTAGTCCTGAATGCACCATATGGACGGACACCCAAGATTAAAAGACATAAGCAGGCTCTGGAGCAGTGGGCAGAGCATGCCAAGATTTATGTCAACAATGAAGTAGTGGGTAATGAGTTGCAATCTGGGGTTTGGAAAACACTGGCTCCGAAGGTTCCTGGGAAAACCACGCCATCTGGGTATCTGGAGGAAAAGGCTTCTCTGATCTTGCAGAAATGAACCTGAGTCCTTATAGGATTGTCTGAAATCTTCATCTGTAGAATTCTGCCAGTGTTTCTCCTTGGGGCCTGCCTGCATCTGCCTGAGCCCAGAGCAGAGGTCCTGGGGACAAGGGGAGCAGAAACATGTTCACCTTTAGCCCAGAAGGCTGACCTATAGCTGGCATAGTTCCAGTAAGGATCAAGAATATGCTGGTTGTGAGGCACCCGGGTGGCTCAGTGGGTTAAGCCCCTGCCTTCGGCTCAGGTCATGATCTCAGGGTCATGGGATCGAGTCCCGTATCGGGCTCTCTGCTCAGCAGGGAGCCTGCTTCCCTCTCTCTGCCTGCCTCTCTGCCTACTTGTGATTTCTCTCTGTCAAATAAATAAATAAAATCTTAAAAAAAAAAAAAAAAGAATGTGCTGGTTGCTACATTCATAAAGGGTCTGGTGACTGCCTGTAAATCTCACTAATAGTTAATATTGAATGGAATGATGAGCACCATAGAAATTGTGTGTAAGTTTTGTGAGTGTTAATTCAAAGAAGATATTTATGACCTTGTACTCCCTGCATGTCACCTCCCCACGTGCGCACTAAGCATATACCCACCAGCTTCATTTAGTGCAGCTCCCCATGCCCGGGGGGAGCTACTCACGTACATGTACTAAGTTGTACATGTACGTGCTACTCACGTACATGTACTAAGTTGCACGGTACAGCAACTTGTGCTTGATGATCCTGCCACACTAGGACAGCTCTGGGTTGGGGGCAGTGGGGCCACCTCTTGGGGTGACCGCTGGGCTTCTGCATCCAGCCTGCTTTCTTATTGGAAAGGTTGTAGGAAACCTTCATTTTGTCCCTTCTTGCAGCCAGAAAATTCCCTTTTCCTCTTTTGTGATTTGCTGTAGTCACTAATGTTATCTTAAGGATAAGGATAAGTCTCAGGCTGCACGTACTTCAGAAACCATGGAGGAGAGCCCTGTTGGCCAAACCCTGGCATTTTATTCCATGATTGTTTTGTCTTCCGTTGCAATGGATAGCTTCAGTTTGTCCGTGGAAAGGCATTTATCTGAGTGCTTCAAGGCCAAAGGAGCACAAACAGAAAAGTGCAGGATATCTGTACATTTATTTGTCTGTCTGTCATGTATCACCTATCTGTGGGCTTTCACTGACAGAGATTGTCCCTGGAAAGATACACAAGGCAAGGACCCCAGTGATTGTTTTTCAGGAGGGGGATAGGGGTACAGGAATAGGAGGGAGCTCTTTTTCTTCGTACTGTTTGAAATTTTTACCACATTCATATAAACTATTAAAAAAAGAGTAAGCTGAGACTGACATGTTTTGACTTGTGTCTCCAAATCCTTACGTTGAAGTCCTAACCCTCAGGACCTGAGAATGTGACCTTATTTGGAAATCGGGTCTTTACAGATGATTTAAGATGAGGTCACTGGGGTGGGCATTGATCCAATACGACTGTGTCCTTTTACAAAGGGAAAGTTTGGACACAGACCACATGGGGAGTGTGCCACATGGAGCTTGGAGTTCTGTAGCCACAAGCCAAGGGACGACCGGAAGCTAGGAGAGACTCTGGAACAGATCCTTCCTTAAGTCCTTCAGAGGGAGTATGGCCCTGCCAGCCCCTTGATTTTGGACTTCTGGCCTCCAGAACTGTGCGTCAATACATTTCGGTTGCTTAAGCCTTCCAGGTTGTGGTCCTTTGTTATGGCAGCCCCGGGGAAAGTAAGACACCAAGTGAGAAACTGTTAGCAAGACACCAAGTGAGAAACTGTTAGCAGAGTCTCCAAAGAAAGGGATTGATGGGCTAGAGAGGAGGAGGGGTGGGGAGAGGGAGTTGGTTAGGGATGAGGTTGGGGGGGTGCAGCATGCACGGCCGGGCCCACCCCACCTGGACCCTGTGCTTGCTGCTTTGCCCTGCCTTCCCTTACTGGTTGCCTGCCTCAGTTCTCAGCTGGACAGGCTGCCTGGGAACAGATGTGATCCTGCGATGCTGGGAGGCTAGATCAGTGACAAGCCTCCTAGGAGAGGCCTCTGTGCCCATCATAATAGGACACAGTTGTTTGGGAGGAGTTTGCTAATCTGTGAGTCACATCCTGACACCTCAGATTTCTCAGATAGGCTCAGACTTCACCAAGCACAGCAAGGAGAGTGAATTGCCTCAGAATGACCCACAGTCATGAAGCCTGTCAGACTGTGGGGCCTTTCCAGGTGCCACAGTAGGTCTCTGAGGAAACCGGGTCTGGACCTCCATGGTGTCAGTCAGCTGAGTTTGGGGCTGTGTATTGTTTTTGTGGCTCTGTCTTGTGTTCCCTGACTCCTGCTCCAGGGCCTTGAGACTTCCTGCAGAGGACCGGGGGGAGTTACCTCCTACAGCTGCGGAGGCTGACACAGAAGGCCCCCGCCTGGTTTGCCCCAAAGAAGGCCCCTCCAGAAGGGCCTCAGGGCCCTGCTCCTGGTTGCATGGAGCTTGATCATCAAAAGTAAATTAATGTCTCAGCAAGGCTTTGGAAGTCTGTTCCAAACAGGTGAAATGTCTTTTGGGTGAAAGACATTTGACCACATTGAGAAGGGACTGAATAAACAAAGGCCTGGTTTAACCTGCCTGACGGGCCACACAGACTTCTCCATTTGGCAGATCGGCCCGTCCAGTGGGATAGGTGGCTCTGTCTTCTCTAAATACCAAGAACGCCTTCAGAAAAGCATTTCAAAGTCAGTGGGAATTCTTGGAAGAAGGTCTGCCAGCCACGGACACCTGGGCTTGTCCTGAATGCCTTTAGGAGAGGGCAGCCTCCATTAGCACGGGTTTGTGAGCCAAGCACAACTTGGTTCAGAGGTGTGAGACCTTGGCCTGGGGCTCCACAGACCTGAGAGGGGCTTCATTCTGCCCCTCCCCCTCTTCTCCATAGATTTGTTCCTCCAGCTAATCCAGAGAAGTCACTTAGCCATTCCCAGTGGTGGTGGAGAGGTCCCAACTGTGTGGCTTTAGAACCCAGAGGCTCATCTTTGTGGACGGCCAAGTTTCCTCACTTAGATCATAATTTGTGGACATGCACCTGGGTGTGTCTGTCAGCTCATGTCATCAGAGAGGGGTGGGGACAGGGCCTGGCCCAGAAGGTCTGGACCCAACAGAGAGGAGGGGGACATTTTGAGAGGAGAGGAGGGGATTCTACCGAGGGACCTGCCCCCGCTGCCTTGGGTTCAAGCCTCAGGACACGGGCAATAGCGTAACCAAGGGAGACCAGGCCCCTGGAGGAGGGTGTACAGCAGGCGTGGGTCACTATGGCCTATGGGAAGCAGGTCACCGAGCCCCCCTGCCTCTTTGCCCTCAGAATGAGGGAGATGTGTGACAGGAGGAAGTCAGGGGTTGGGGCTGCTCAGGGTCATCTGCTGACTGGAGACACGTAATATGTTGTCTCCAGAGAACTGAAAACTTCCTGCTGAAGACCTCATCGAGTGCTCAGGTGTCAGCACCCGCCTCTCTGTCAGCAAATGGGGAGGGAATATTCCAGCCAGGCAGTGTCTGTACATGATTACTGGGGCAGCACGTGGAAGGGCGGCTGTTGAAGGTGACGTGTCTGCGTCCACACCTGGGAAGGGCAAGAGGGAGAGAGTGCCATGGCATCTTCACTGTGGTCGGGAGCCAGTCCCATCTGGTGCCAGAATCCCACCTCCCCCTCTGTCCCAGCTCTCCAGTGCCACAGAGAATCCAGTTTTGTCAAATTCCTTGAGGCTGGATTTTCCCAAAGGATGTGCAGTGAACCCTTCTCTAGTGATGTGTGGCCCAAATAAATTTGGGAAACCTGCCACACTCTCCCTTTGGAAGAACCCACAGCTCACATTAGTGGGTATCAGAGACTCTGAGAAACCCATACAGATGAAGCTGTTTGGTTTTGTTTAGCCCTCGTTTCCTCCTTTTCTATAACTTCTATTAACTGTAACTTCTATTTATGTCCCGCCGACCCAGTGAACCCATTAGGCAGCAGACACCCCATTGGTGGTTAGAACAGACTCGTGGATGTTGTGTATAGGTTCCTGTCTAGTCCTTTGAGTAAGTGAAGCGGTCATCAGTATGTGCCTGTCTGTGTGCCCAGCTGCCTCCTGCCATTCCTCCCCAGCTGCTTCAGACATTCATCGCAAGCCATTCTCTGGTCTCATCATCTCCTGGGGACTCTCATGGGATAGCTCCTGGTGGTCTGTGTTCGTTTTAAGACACTTCCTCCCGTGTGACCCACAAGGGGCCAACTTGGGTAGGACTGTCCTCCTTTACTTTGGACACTGCCCAGGGATTTGTGTTCCCTTTCTCATCAGCAGCGTCCATGTCCTTGCACAACAAACCCAGAGGTGAGGCCATTGCCAACCTTGGACAAAAGAAATAAGATGGCAGCTAATGATTGCTGTGTCGGTGAACTTAAAAGAGGTCCTGTGTTTTCTTCCCTTAGGTCATCTTTGCTTTGAACCAGACCCTCCTGCAGCAGGAGAGCCTTCGAGCAGGCAGCCTTCAGATCCCCTACACGACGGAGGATCTCATCAAACACTATAACTGTGGGGACCTCAGCTCTGTCATCTTCAGCCATGACAGCTCCCAGGTGAGGGCCTTGGTCCTCTGCCCCTTTCAGCGTGCATTTAAGCACAAGAGTAAAGACATTACCTACTGACACCTGGACCTCCTGTGTACAAAGGATCGAGGTCATAAAGGGCTCCAAAAATAAAATTGGGCAGGTTTAGATGTTGAAGGAGATGCTGCAGCTAACAGAGGCATTCTTTATGCTACTGGGAACTGGGGGCGTTGATGAGCGTTAATTCTCAGATTGAGGCAAAGAATGAAGCTTCGAGGGATCCAGCAGCCGGGACGGTCTCTGGGGCACGGAAGGGATCTGAGGGCGAAAGCCCCCTGGCTGACTTAGGCAGTACTTCTGGGAAGTGACGGAGCAGAACTTCAGCTGCACCTTAGCAGTGGCTTCTAGGAGCACGTCAGCAGGATGGGTTGGATTGTGCCCGTGACCGAGCTGGTGTAGTGAGTGACACACGGGACAGGTTTTACCTGTGGCCTTTCAAGGGGGAAGGAAGCTCAGAGTGCAGCCTCCCTACGGGGATGTTTGTTACTCTTTTATCAACAAGTTTCCTGGGGACAAACCATGGCTTCCTACCCTTCCCCCACCAATACCATATGGCGGTGGCAAGTGCCAGCTGAGCTTGAGATGGGGAGTGTGTTGTTTCCAGCCCCAGGACCAGCGTCCTCATGAGGGAGGAGGGTGAGAGTGATGCTCGGGGTGTGTTAGATCTGGGGACCCTGTTGTAAGGCAATGTGCTTGAATATAAGAGGTGAACAAGGAATGGCAGCTTGGGGAGAGGGACAACAGAGGCTGGACCCAGCATCAGCCCCACAAGCGTCAAAATAGTTAATGAGCTTTCTGGAGAGTCTAGTGCTGGAGGAAGTAAAACCCAGGCGAAGCAAGCAAGGGGAAGGGGAGAACAAGGAATGCACTAAAGAAGGAATAGTAGAGTTTATGGTGATGACAGTTCTTGCACTTGTAGTGGGTGTGGGGTAAGTGGGGAGACAAGTCATCGTCAATTGGGACACATTAAAATCTGAAATGGCAGGAAAAGCTAATAGGGACGGGGGATTTGGAAGTTAGATGGGTAAATGCGAAGGCTGGTGGGGGCAGTCAGAGAGACACCTTATGCTTCCCTTTTCTGCGGCTCCTTCATCCCTGGCCTGCTCACAGCGCCCCCGCCGGTGGTGTGGGGTACTGAGGAGGTGGTGCCAGGAGGGCCTTACTGGTCACGCTGAGGGGCACAGGTCAGAGGGCACATTTGGCATTTAGAAGGGACAGCAGGATGGCAGTGGGAGGCTGCCCTGCACACTCTGGGCGGCCTGTGGGGAGGGGCGGGTACAAAGGGAGTGCTGTGCTGAAGAGAAGGGACATGGAGAAATGGACAGAAGGATCGCACATAAACGACAGGATTTTTGAAAAGACGATAAAGGAATAGATGAAGGTTTTGGATTTGGAAATGAAAAAAGTATCATTTCAAGTAAATAGCCGAAGAGGATCTGTTGTTGGTGAAATGGAAATTGATGGCTGTGCCACAGAATAAGGACGTTCAGAAGGCCTTGGAGGGGCTACTGCAGGTGGGAGAAGCTGCCTGGGTGGATATCCTGTTTTATAAGCTTGCAAATAGTGAAGCTTGTTAAATCCCTGGGTAGAGGAGAGAGCGCCGCACCCAGGATGAGGGGATCCGGGTGGGGTGGGAGAGAACCCGCGTGTCGCTGGGCTGCAAGTACCACCCGGACGGTCATAGTTTTGGTGTAACGTCACCATTTGTTAGTCCAAACACCGCAGCTGGCCAAGATGTGTGCCGGAGCCAGGTGAAATATTTGCCAGGAGGGCCAAGAACACCGGAGAAAGCAAGAGGAAGACATGGGAATTGGAGACGTAATGACAATGAACATGTATGGAATTTAGAAAACAGTCAAATGGCTATAGGCGTTCCACGTGTTTGGTGGTAGAATCATAATTATTGGTTCTAAACTATGTATTTATGTAAAAGTATTTTCCTAAAGAAAGCATGTGTGAATCCAACAAGTGCAAACTCGGAATGTGCTAAGGCAAAAGATAGGGTCTCCTTATACAAACACATGGTGCCAAGCACTCTCATTTAAATGGAAGAGAAGCGCTGTCTAAAATAGCCCAAGGGTTCTTTCAGTGCTTCGTTTACTGTGTTTGCACCTGGGTTACAGACAATGATATCCCAGTTTGAGAAAAAGCAGGTGGGAGACCCCACGAGTGGTGCGCCACCCCACCCCCCCGCCCCCGACAAACGCTTGACTGTCTAGGCTGGGTGATTTGGTGCTCAAATTAAGCAACTTCGTTTGTTACTCTGTTGCCCCTAATTTTTTCCTTTTCTCTCTCTTTTGGCGGAGGTTCCCAATTTTATTAACGCCACGCTGCCGCCCCAGGAGCGCGTCACGGCGCAGGAGATCGACAGCTACTTCCGCCAGGAGCTTATCTACAAGCGGAATGAGAGAATGGGGAAGCGGGTGAAGGCGCTCTTGGAAGAGTTTCCTGACAAAGGCTTTTTCTTTGCCTTTGGAGCTGGTGAGTCGTAGGTTACCTCTGCTGGGACGCTGGGCTTGGATGCTCCCTCCACGAGGGGCCTGCTGGGGTGGCGCCTGGAGAAGAGCTGAGTGGCAGGCACCTTCTTTGCCGTAGTTCACTCGCCAAGAGGCTCGGCTGATGCCCCAGCGCCCCGCAGGGCTGCAACTTCGCTGGAAGGCCTGGGGCGAATAGATCCCGCTGCTACCGACTGCTAACAGCGTACGGGGAAACAGACTGGGAAAATGATTTTCTTCTGTGGGCTTTTTGAAATAAATTATCCCCTCTTCTTTTTTTTTTTTTTTTTTTTTTTTTAAAGATTTTATTTATTTATTTGACAGACAGAGATCACAAGCAGCAGAGAGGCAGGCAGAGAGAGAGGAGGAAGCAGGCTCCCCGCTGAGCAGAGAGCCCGATGTGGGGCTCGATCCCAGGACCCTGAGATCATGACCTGAGCTGAAGGCAGCGGCCTAACCCACTGAGCCACCCAGGCGCCCCAAAATTATCCCCTCTTCTTGAGTGATTCTATCGCTTTCTATCTTTGCCCCCTCCAGAATTAAAGATGGAAGTGCCAGAGGCTGGTAGGGTGCAGAGAGACCATTTGCTGGCTTCCGCTTTCTCCCTTCATTTCTTCCACTAGCTTCGTAGACTTGGGAAAGTCACCTCCCTCAGTTTTTCTTATGAGTAAGATGGGGGGTTGGAGAGAAGCTCTTCCAGAGTGGCTGGAGAGGTCCGGTATAATTATCACTTGACCTCAAGATCCTGCTTCATTACAGCAGCGAAATCCACCCCCCCCCCGCCCCCGTAACATAACATTCACAGGTTCCAGGGATTAGGGTGCAGATTTCCGGGGGCCATTTCCACAACATGTGAAAATTAGTCAACATGCTAACCCCATATAAGTAGACTAAAGGCCAAGTATCACGTGATGCTCTCAATAGATGTAGAAAAAGCTGTTGATAAAGTGCAGTATTCTTTCATGATAAACACACTCCTCAGAATTGGGCTAGAAGGGAATTTACTTCATCAGCCTGTGAAAGGTCAGTATGAAAAATCCCACATTAATGTTTAATGGTGAAAGCCCAGAACAGTTTCCCCCTAAGGTCAGGAGTAAGACAAGGATGGCTGCTCTCAACAATGTAAAATTAGACACAGAAAAGGAATAAAAAACATTTAAATTGGAAAGGAAGAAGTGAAACTATATTTTTTCTCAGGTGCAACGGTCTTGTGTATAGAAAATGCTAGGTAATCCATCAAAAAACTGTGAGCACTAATAACCAAGGGTATAAGGAGGCAGGATACAAGATTAATATACAAAAACCAGTCATGTTTCTATATTCTAGCAATGAAATTTTGAAAATGCGGCTAAGAAACCAGGGCCATTTATTTATTTATTTATATTAAATTTAAATCCAACTAATTTAAAGCACACATACAGTGTGTCATTAGTTTCAGAGGTAGAGTTTAGTGATCATCAGTCTTATATAACACCCAGTGCTCGTTACATCATGAGCCCTCCTTAATGTCCATCACCCAGTTACCCCTTCCCTCCACCCACCTCCTTTCCAGCAACCCTCAGTTTGTTTCCTATGACTAAGGGTCTCTTAACGGTTTTTCTGAAGCCAGTTCATTTAAAAGCATAAAAAAATGCTTACTACTAAATCTAACAAGTGACATGTATGATGTATAATGAAAACTAAAAATATAATTGAAAGGAATTAAAGAAGACCTAAGTAAATGGAAAGACATCTCATGGTCATGAATTGGAAGACTTGATAAATACTGTCAAAATGACAGTATTCCCCCAAATTGATCTATACATTCAGTGAAATTGTTATCAAAATCTCAGCTGATGAAAATGTTTTAAAATTAGCTGGTGGTGGGGCACCTGGGTGGCTCAGTGGGTTAAAGCCTCTGCCTTCGGCTCAGGTCATGATCCCGGGGTCCTGGGATCGAGCCCCACGTCGGGCTTTCTGCTCTGCAGGAGCCTGCTTCCTCCTCTCTCTCTCTCTGCCTGCCTCTCTGCCTACTTGTGATTTCTGTCTGTCAAATAAATAAATAAAATCTTTTAAAAAAATAAAATAAAATTAGGTGGTGGTGATGTTTGCACAACTTTATGAATATTTCAAAAATCTCTGAATTGCACACTTTAAAAGGATGTATTTTAGGGGTGCTTGGCTGGCTTAGTCGGAAGAGCATAAGATTCTTGATCTCCAGGTCATGTGTTCGAGCCCCTCATTGGGTGTAGAGATTACTAAAATAAATAAACTTAAAAAGAAGATGAATTTTATGTTACGTGAATTATACTCAAATAAAGCTGTTGTGGAGAAAATGAGAGGTTGGGCTCCTATATTTTGTTCATTGAAAAATGAACAATTTTGCCTTTGGTGGCTGGTTCCTCTGAGCTGGGTGAGTGGTTTTCCTCTTCCCTAAATCATTCTGTATTTGGATTGTGCACTGTGCCGGGTCTTACTGTGCCCACAACTGGCCCATCTCAGTAAAGCTGTTGGCTCTGGTCCTGCGGCACCCTATAGGAGTTAGGTCCCAGAAGCCCTCATGGTGTCTGGTGGTGTGATGGTGGCTCTCTGTTGGGATGCAGAACTGGTAGCTTTGTCCCAGTGGCTGTGCTGGGTCCTCCAGGAGGGAAGGTGCCAACCCCTGAGCATGGTCTTTTGCTTTCCGCTCCTGCCAGACTCAGCTGATGTCTCCAAAGCTTTCCTGATGTTCAGTGGTAAAGAGTAGGGCACTGGGTGCTGGGGGAAAGGTGGATGCTTTGAGATGACAGTGACTCGCCCTGCGGTGTGAGGCAGGGCAGCAGGTTGGTGGGCAGGTTGATCTGAGCAGATCGTGGGGCAGGCCCTCTGGTTGGGGACTGTGCTGGACAGAGGGCTCAGGTGAGTCTGCAGCACCTGGGCTAGCCTCATTCTCTGGGTACAGCTCGCCGTACTGCTGCAGCTCTGGGGAGAGGCCTCGCAGCCGCTGGGCATTTGGGGATCGGGAGTGCCCTGGGCAGCTGCTAGTGCCAGGTTCTCTTCCCTGGAGCTGCTTTCTCCACCGCCTGAATCCATTTCTCCTCGTGCCTTCCGAAGGCTGTGTTGGCTGGAGGAACCCCAGAAATTGCTCCTGACACATAGTACTAGTGGTTTAAAATTTTAAAAATCTGCAGTTAGCAAACTTTTAATTGCAAAGTGAGGATAACCGAAAACTAAAAGCTCCAGCATTTAAAAGCAAACAGCAGCTTCTGCTGCGGGGACCTGGAGATAAAATTTAGAGATGAGAAATGGAGCACGCCTTTGGAATAGGAGGAAAATTAAGTCAAACAAAATAGCTCGGTTCTGTGATGAGAAAGCATTGGTAATGGGGGCAGTTCATTGACTTGACAAATATTGTTTGCCTTCCTGATTGGTGGAGAGCGTGGACTCTGGAGCCAGACCCCTGGGGTTTGAGATGCTATCTGCTTCATCTCTCAGTGCCTCTTCTCACCTGTAAAATGGGGATACTACTCTACCCACCTTATAGGATTGTTGGCATGGGGGGGCGGTGTCCAGTGATGTGTAAAGCACTGCACCTTGTAATGTTCAGTGACTGTTTATTTTTGTGATCACCCCCGCTGTGTGGGCTTGGTAATGGCTGGGGGAGTGAGGTCAGGGCAGCACTCTGCAAGCTTAGTAGCCACACCCCCTTCCACCCAGCCCAGGCATAATCTTGTATGTATGTATGTATGTTTATATAAGTGCATGTGTGGGGGGTGGGTAAGGTAGGGTAAGGTAGGAGAGGATTGGGCGGGGAGGGAGAGGGACAAGCAGATTCCCCTGAGATCATGACCTGAACCGAAACTAAGAGTTGGGCGCTCTACTGACTGAGCCAGCCAGGTGCCCAGGCATAATGTGTGCACTTCTGCACCAGGGTTAATCTGGGCCTTGCCAATGCCCCTTTCATCTGAGCCAGTTGCCTCTCATCAATCTTGGAGTCATAGACCCTACAATTGAACCCGAGAATGGAGTAGGGCCCAATATCTTCTGCCACAGTCCCCGCCCTCGGGCTTCCTAGGGTCGCAGAGGCTGATCCAGGTTCATTCTGTGGGACCAGGACACGGGAGAGACCTACAGACCACTTGTCGTCTCTTCTGCAGCATGGATGTACCTTAATTTGCTGTCCCAGTCTCTGGTTATCGAATACTGAGGTGTCAAAATTGCATAGACTCTGCCGCTGCTTAGCATGTGAAGTCCGGAACCTGTTTTACTTGTTTTCTAATTTAAAGTGGAGATAATAACAATCCCTCTAAAGTTCTATGCCATCACATGATAGATTGCTACAATTTAATGGGCCATTTAGGACATTAAAGTGCCATACACTGTCACAGACAGGGACATGTCAGTTCTGAGCATCAAAACCAAAGGAGGGGCGCCTGGGTGGCACAGTCTGTTAAGCATCTGATTCTTAATCTCAGCTCAGGTCTTGATCTCAGGGTCATGAGTTTGAGCCCTGTGCTGGGCTCCATGCATGGAGCCACCTTAAAAAACAAACAAACAGGGTGCCTGGGTGGCTCAGTGGGTTGAGCCGCTGCCTTCGGCTCAGGTCATGATCTCAGGGTCCTGGGATCGAGTCCCACATCGGGCTCTCTGCTCAGCGGGGAGCCTGCTTCCCTCTCTCTCTCTGCCTGCCTCTCTGCCTGCTTGTGATCTCTGTCTGTCAAATAAATAAATAAAATCTTTAAAACAAACAAACAAACAAACAAACAAACAAACAAAAAACCTGAAAGGAAAGAAGGCTAATCTCAAGGTCTACTTTTGGCCTTTAAAATGTTTATTTGAAGATGTCACCACAAGCTTATCTGTTTGATCTTTGTTGTTTTTTATTAAAAGGGAAAAAGTGAGGGGCGCCTGGGTGGCTCAGTGGGTTAAAGCCTCTGCCTCAGCTCAGGTCATGATCTCAGGGTCCTGGGATCAAGCCCTGTGTCAGGCTCTCTGCTCGGTGGGGAGCCTGCTTCCCCCACCCTCTCTGCCTGCCTCTCTACTTGTGATCGCTGTCTGTCAAATAAATGAATAAAATCTTAAAAAAAAAAAAAAAGGGAAAAAGTGAAATAAAATTCAAGCTGAGGTTTCCAGCTATGGTGGCTTCTGCTAAACGGAGGTTTTAACTGTACATTTATCTTTATGTGTCAGACAGAAGGGGGCTTGGGTCTTAGAGGTGGTTGGCTTGTATAAATGAGGAGAATGGTCAGGACTGTTAACAGTGCCTTCAGAGGTAGAAGGTTGGGATTTGGTGTCTAGGCTGTCCTCTTACTGTGTGATTCTGGGCAGCTCACTGCACCTTTCTCATCCTCTGTGTCCTCATCTCTGAAATAATGGTTACTGCTCCCTGTCTACAGACACTCTGGAACTCTCCTGGGCTGGAGAGAAGGGATGGAGGGTTGCCCAGATTATTTCTTTGATCCGGGGTGTATGTTTGGGGGTATGTTTAGTAATCATGGGAACTGCCGTGTTTCTGATCGTTTTTCTTCCCGCAGGTCATTTCATGGGCAACAACACAGTACTTGATGTCTTGCGGCGCGAAGGCTATGAGGTAGAACACGCCCCTGCTGGACGAACCATCAACAAGTAACCTTCCTGTGCTTCTATCCTGGTTGGGGAGCAGTTAGGGGGACCAAGACCCCCACGGGGCTGCCTGGGCACCGAGGCGGGCTGTCCGCTGAGGGGCTCCAGAGGCCCCAGCAAGGCTCTTATCACCTTTCCCATCTGGTGGCTAAATGGACACTTGGCACTCAGCTCAGCTGGCATCCTGTTGTGGCTGCGGCTCTGTCAGATGTGGGTCGGCTGCAGGCACTTTGGGCAACAAAAGACTGTGGACTTTTCCTCACAGTCTTGGGGCAGAGAAGGAGAAGGGAAAACTGCTCCACGGTCCTGGGGCCCCCAGGATGGGTGGTTTGGCTTAATGCTCAGTGCCCTTCCAGTGGGCATTTGGGAGGTTTCAGGGAGGCAGATAGTGGAATCTGTCATGTTGTCAGGTCAGAGGGGTTAAAGTCGCAGGACGCCCCTGTGAGACCCATCTTGGGGGCAGGAGTCAAACCCCTTCCCTTTTCCTGAGCTCCCCCCGCCCCCAGGTCAGTTTATTTCTAATTTTGATGGCCCTGTGGATACTTCCTTCCCCTTCCATACTAGTCAGCTTGGGCTGCCATCCCAGAATGCCACAGACTGGGCACTTGAACAACAAAAATGTATTTACTTCCAGTTTTGGAGGCCAGAAGTCCAAAATCCAGGTGTTGGTAGGTTCAGTTTCCGCTGAGGTCTCTCTGGCTTGCAGATAGTGCCCTCCATGCACACATAATCCCAGCGTCTCTCTCTGTTTAATTTCCCCTTCTTACAAGGACACCAGTCAGACGATCCCAGCCCACCCTAACAGCTTCATTTTAACTTAATCACCTCTTTAAAGGCCCTACCTATGAATGCAGTCACATTCTGAGCAACTGGCTGTCAAGGCTTCAACGTAGGAATTCAGGCCAGAACACAAGCCATTCCTCGCTCCACTTCTTCCAGATCGTGGTCACCAGCGCCCCCTCCTGGCAGAGATCTCAGCGCTGCTGAGGAGAATGCGGAGGTGGTGGGTGGTCCTCTGCTGAGGGAGTAGAGAGGGGGTAGGAGGTGGTGCCTGCTTATGGCTGCCCTTCCCCAGGTACCCTCTCTCTCTTCAGAATCTCCCTTCAACTCATGTTGTTTCAAGCCAGGGCCTCTTGCTAGCCCCTCACTCCAGAGGGTCCTCCCTCACAGTCCAGTGACCCCCCCGGGGGGGGGCAGAATTCTGCCAGTCTCCCTCAGTACAGCCTGGGCCCGTCTCCCCCCGCTACTTCATACCTACGTGCAGTGCGTCAGTAGTAACCATTCTGCACTGGCACTCCTTCTCTGCAAAAGCCCTCACCTGAAGACTCCTCATTTCTCACCTTCATCACACCTCAGGCCTCCTTTCTCCGGTTCGCTCCTCTCCTTTCCCCTGGCCCTCAGACTCTGATCCATTCTTTCCTTTCTGTGGGACTAACCTTGCAAGTGTCCTTTCCTCAGACACCTTCAGTGGTTTCTCCCTGTTCTTTTCCAAAGTCCGATTTCTGTGCGCTGATGTCTCAGCTCCCAGACCCTACCGTTTTTCCAGCACAGGTAGGCTTCTTGCGTGGGAAAACCTCCCGTCTGGGCTGCTGCCCGTCCACCTCCCCCTGACAGGGAAGACCCTGCCCCTCCTTCATCCAGCTCTGCTGATGGCCCAAGTGTGGCTCTTTCTCTCCCTCCTCTCTTCCTTCAGCCCTGGATGGAGAACCCAGCCCTTAGTGGTTCTCTGCTTGGTTTGAGGGGACTGGGTCTTTCCTCACCTACTGGCTATGTGCTCCTGGATAGCAGGGTGGGCTGGACCCCCTGGTCCCTTCTCAGCTCCCCGCCCTGCTGCGGGCTGACTCGGCTGCTGTTTGGCACCCAGTGCTTGTGGGTGCTGAAGAGGACCCTGCCGTGCCCGTGTGTGTATGTGTGTATGCATGTACGTGTGTGCATGTGTACGTGTGCATGGGTGTGCAGGTACGTGTGTGCATGTGTACTTCCTACGTATGTGTACTTCCTACTTCTCTTTCTAATCCTGAAACCTGCCTCTGGGAGGAAGTAAGGTCAGGAATCACAATTTTGAAAATCTCTCTGTGATTCTGACGCACAGTGAGGGCCGAGAACCATGCTGACATCCAGCCCGGCAGCTCACATTTCCAGGAGAGGAAAGAACATTTACTGATAGATTGTCAGGTGTCAGCCAAGTTCACACGGACACTCAGTTAGTCCTCAAAGCCAGCCTGTGAGGCAGGTGTTTCTTCTCCTTTCTGGACAGACAAACAGAAAGATCACACAGGTCATCAGTGCCATAGTGCGGCTCAGACTGCCCCACCTGCGTGTCCCTTCTCTTTCTGCCCTTTCTTCTTCGATGTTTTACTTCCCAGATCCTATGTCTTTGCTCATGCAGTTTCCTCTGCCAGAGGGTCAGTTGTCATCCCTGCCCCTAATTCTGTCAGAATTTGTGAGGTCCAGTACAAATGCCCTGTCTTCTTCTCTGCTCCAGCCAGGGCCCACCCCCACGCAGGAATTCCCGAGGGGTTTCCTGTGTGCATCTGTGGTAGCTGTCCTGGCGTCTGGCACACCCTATGTGCTCCATTTGGGTAAATGTCTATGACTTTTCAGTGGTGAGCAGTGCTCCCAGGGGAGGCCACAAGGGAGCAGGAAGTCCGGAAAGGAGCTTCTGTTCAGGAAGAGGAGGGGGCAAGGGGATAAGGGCCTAGAGCTGGGGGGAGGGTGGGGAGAAGTGTCCACAGTGAAGGTATTGGCGAGGGCCAGTGCAGTGGCTGTGGACGCACCCACTTCCTTCCTACTCTCCTTAGCAGCCATCTGATAACCCTTGAGGGATGATTCTGATCATATGGAACTTGGATCTGGGACAGGCTGTGTGAATGAGGGGGCAGGAGGCCTTCCAACTGGTGACCTAGCTTACTCCAGCCCTGCCAGTCCCTTGGGGTTTGGGGTAGACCAGTACGAGGTGGTCAGAGAAGGGCTGTATTTTGGAGTAACGGGAGGGCAACTGGCAGCCACTCCCCTCCACTGTCACGGGAACACACAGCTGGAACACACAGCTGGAACACACAGGAAATGCCGCTGGCAGGGCTCCTGCTGGGCTGATCCCAAGGATTTAGCCAGTCCCCCACACCCACACCTCTTCCAGAATAATGGAAGCTGTAGGGTTTTTGTTTGTTTTTGTTTTTGTTTTTGCTGCCACAACAAACTACTATAAACTCCAAGCAAAGGATTATTTTACAGTTCTGTAGATCAGAAGTCTGACATGTCTCATTGGGTTGACATGATGTTAGTGGAGCTGCATTCCCTTCTGGAGCCTCTAGGGGAGAATCTGTTTACTTGCCTTTTCCAGTTGACAGAGGTTGCTCACATTTCTTGGTTTGTGACCTCTTCCCCCATGTTCAAAGCCAGTGACACTGCATCTCGCTGACCATTCTTCTGTACTTACATCTCCCACAGGCCACAGAAAAGTTCTTTAGCTTTAAGGATGCATGTGATTAGATTGAGCCCACCCAGATAGCCTGGGGCAATCTCCCGTCTCGTAGTCCTATGTCACATCCAGAAAAGCCCTTTTACCAGGAAAGGTAACAAATGTATTCACAGGTTCTGGGGATCAAGATGTGGACTTCTCTGGGGGTCATTATTCTGCCTACCACAAATCCAGTGAGGATCTGGTGAATGTTCCTGAGGCTACACAGGCGTGTGCTCGAGGCTTCTGGCCATGCTTGCTGGCACACATCCAGTGTCACTCATCCCCACACAGAGGGACTGGGAGGAAGGGGCATGCACATGGAATGTGGACTGTGAGCTCAGCCCTTTGTGAAGTGTCTGAGTCGTTTCAATCCTCACGGCAGGCAGGCGAGACAGCTCAATTTCACAGAAACAGCAAAGGCCCAGAAAAGCTAATTACCTTGCCCTGGTTTCCAAGCCTGGGCTCTTTCCTGGATACCACATGTCCTCCTGTGGGTGTGTGCCCAGGAGAGGGGCCACTGCCATCCAGTGTTTCTTTCTTGGAGACTTCCATGGAGTGAGTAGATTATATGAAATTCAGGCAGGGGACAAACAGTTTCTCCGCCCAAGAGTCCTCTACTGTGGCCAAAATGACCATGGGCCTAGGCTTCATAACATAACTAGAGGTTTTGCTAAACTTTGGGAATTCAGATGGACCAAAGCATGGTAACCTATAACCTCAAGCTCTGATGGGATACTTAAGCTAGCCCAGAAGTTCTGGGATGGATTGGGCTGTGTTCAGCCCCTGGGATTTTCTGTTCCTGGCAGAGCAGCAGCCACCCCCTACTGCCCCAGGGACCCTTAAGCCTATGCCTGAAACCTTGTGAGCATTTGTCTGTAGGGTCTCTCCCAGGAGATTATAGCGACACCATGCTATACTCTCCATATTTTCTATAGTGAACTAGATTAGCTTTATAAACAAACAAACAAAAAAATCTTAATGATGAATGTTATTTGAAAATGGCACTGAATCCTTGTTGGGACCTAGGGTAAGGAAGTTTATTTTCCTGGTCCTTAGTTTCCTCAAATGGTAAAGTGGATGTTATGATTCCCCAGGACATCTCAGCTGTGAAATATGAGAAAGATAAAAATCAGGAGAAGTAAAATCAATTTCTTTTGGATTAATCTACCCCCCCACCCCCGCCACATGCAGGGGTAATTAACTTGGTTCTCAAGCCCTGGCCTCGGCTACCTGCAGTAACTGGACTGAGGTCTTCTTGTGTCTATTGTGATGTGATTTGAACAGACTCGAAGTTGTGATTTGTCCCACTGTGAGGATCCACTGTTTGAAGCCGTAAGAGCTGAGCCTTCATGAATTTGAGTCCATGTTCTTTGCTAAGTAAAAGCAACAGACCTCGTTTTGAGTGCCTACTGTGTACCAGAGCCTGTTTGGGTTATATGGAGGTCAAGGATGACATAGACATAATCTCTGCTGGGGTAGAGGGCCTTGGCATGGGGTCTGCCTGACCATCTGCGCCTAAATCCTCTAGGAGGCCACCAGAATCTTGGAGAGAGGGAGGCAGGGCAGTTTTCCTCTCTAGGCTCCAGTTTCTTGGCACAATGAAGAGGTTCATCTAAGTGGTGTCACACTTACGTGTCAGGCATTGTGCTGGGCTCCAGAGACAGTGATGAATCTGGCAGGTCCTGGTCTCCAGGGATCTTGTAGCTGTCACTATATGTTGCTGGGATTCCCAGCCTCAAGTTCAGAGTTCAGCTCAGTTTCTTCTTTGCCATTTGAGGAATTCCCTTCTTTTACCTTTTTGGCCCACCCTGAGTCTTTCCCTTTTTCATTTTTTTGTCTCTTATACCTCCTCCCTTCCTCACACAGGGCCATGAATACTAATTGACATCTCAGTTCTGTCGGGTTGTGGGTCAGAATTGAGCCCTGCTTCTGGCTAGTGGGCAGTTCATCAGGCTGAATCAGGGCAGAACGACCGAGTTCTTATGCTGGTCTGCTACACCACATTGTTGGAAGATGCACTTGGCACATCCACGGCTCCCTTTTCTGAGGTGGATGGGAGCCTCAGGGCCCTCAGTGCCTCCATCAGGAGACAATGGGATTGACCTCTAGTAGCTGGGATTCATCTCTTACTGACCCTTCTCAACCCCAACTAAGCCCTTGACAAAAGTCCTGTTGTGGGAAGAAAATTGGTCCTTCTAACAGCTTATTTCCCCACCAGAAGAGATTCTTGGGGTGGGGGGGGACTAAAGTCACCTTTAGGGGAAGACTAGAAGCAAGTTTGAGTTTCTTATCAACTGTGAAAAACATGTTCTCTTTGGGAAGGATGGCTTATGGTGAGGCCTGGGGTAAGGTGGTCAGATGCCAGCGCTGTGAACAGTAGCAGTCATTCAGGTGGGGATGGGGCTGCTACAGACTCATTCTGAGTAAAGCCCTTAGGAGGGTAAAGGAGGGATTAACATGATTAAGGGCCACTTCAACTGTCCTAGGTAAATGGCATTTAAACATTCTTCATGTTGCTTTCAATGCTGTAATCTTTAGTGACTTTCTAGACAGTGTGACCCATTGTTAGGGAAGGGGAGTAATTATACACAATTTAAAAGAAATCTTCTGTTTCCTCCCCAGCTGGGGGATTTGGAACGACTATGGTGACAGTATGGGAGGGAGAAATTAAGGCGTCAAAGTGATCAGTTCTGGAGGCGGCTTCCAGAACCCTCCCTAGCCAGCTTGAACTTTCACATTCTCTCTCCCTTTTGAGGCCCTGAGGGTGGGGAGGACGCCATGCTGTGCGACTGTCTTTCAGATCCATCTTCCCTCCACCCCTGTTCACAGAGAGAAGAGCCAAACTCCGTCCTTGGGGCCCACCTTCTCGTCCATCTTTGCTCCGGAAGTGCCTGCTGTGGACATGCGAGCTCCGGAAGCTGCGTTTGTGGCCCACTCGCTGTTTCTGCCTCACGAGTCCCCGCCTGGAAGTGCGGACCTGGGTGGTGGGGCGGAGCCGAAGTATCGGAAGAAGCGGAGGCGGCCACGCCCACAGCGAAGGCACCGGCTTAGGCAGTTCAGTGATCTGTGGGTTCGACTGGAGGAGCGGTGAGATGGTGGTTTGGGCTGGGCCGGGCTGGGCTGGCCTGGGTAGGGCCTTGCAGGGAGCCCATTCGGGGCATCCATGCGCCCCCTGGGAGTGTGGGTGAGGAGCAGCCCAGGAATGCCCACCACACTGCTTAAGAGTGAGGGGCTTCAAGGCTCTGGTGGGGATAAGTGCCCCACTGGTGGACCAGCCTTTCCTGTTCCTCACAGTCTTAGGCACTGGTGTTCCGGTCACTGTGATACAGATGAATCCAGATTAAAGGTAGTTGCTTCAAGCCGGAATAAGGGCAACATGTTTATCTTTGTTAAAGGATGGTGTGGTGGGGGAGCTGGTGTGGGTATGCATGAGTGTGTTGGTTTGCCAGCCCTTTCTGCACTGCAGATCAGGGATTTCATAGTTTTGCAGAGTTGGAAGCATCCTTGTAAGAATGGGCTTCTTCAGCCCCCACGCTTGACAGGGAGTAGGGTGACCACAGAATGTACTCTCAGAGATGCTTAGGGGGTAGATCAGAGGTGGGCAGAGGAGTCAAAGATGATGACTCAGCCTGGTCTGCAGGGCATAAGGCTTCTGGAAGAACTACATCAGAGAGGCCTGGGATCCAGGATCCAGTTCAACCTGAATGTATTGAGTTCCTTCTTTGTGCCTGCTTTTGTGTTCAGGGCTGTGGCTTTGGAGTAAACCAGGGATTAGCCATCTGACTTCATGGAGTTCACATTCTGGGGAGGAATCCAGATCTTGAGTTGATCGTCTGCAAAGGAAGTATAGGGTGCTGTGGGAATGTGCTTTTGTGTGTGTTGGAGGGTTGTGTGTGTATATAGGGCTGGGCACCAGGAAAGGCCTCATGGAGTGACGGACCTTTCAGCTGATACTGAGTAGAAGCCTGACAAAGTGAAGTCCAACGAACAGAACTTTCGAGTCTGGATCGGGAGATTCAGGGATCTGATGCCTGTGTAGGTGCTTAATAATGTTGATTGAGTAGCAACTGAGCAAGGAGGGGAAGGAGTTCCAAGCAAAGGGAACAACTTGAAGGCATGGAGAGAGTGAGCGTGTTGAAGAAACCAAGATGAAGTAATTATGGCTGGAGCCTGGGAAGTCAAGAGCAGTGGGTTGGGGTGGGGTGGGTCCAGACAGGAAGTGGGGTGGAGTGACTGAGAGTCTTATGCCTGCAGGAATGAGGAGCCACTGGAGGCGGGAAGCCGGCATCCAATGTGCTGTGGAATTGGTAGCTTCTTTTTGTTTTTTAAATTTTAAAAAGATTTTATTTACCTATTTGAGAGAGAGAGTGAGTGGGAGAGGGAGAATCTGAAACAGACCTCACTCTGAGCGGGAAACCTGACTGGGGACTTGATCCCGTGACTGTGAGAGCATGATTTGAGCCAAAATCAACAGTCAGATGCTCAACTGACTGAGCCACCCAGGCGGCCCTGGGATTTGCATTTTTATTTTTTCACTTTTTAAAGATTTTATTTATTTATTTGACAGAGAAAGAGAGAGAGTATAAGCAGGCAGAGGGAGAGGGAGAAGCAGGCTCCATGGTGAGCAGGGAGCCAGATGTGGGTCTCAATCCCAGGACCCCGAGATCATGATCTGAGCTGAAGGCAGTCGCTTAACCCTCTTAGCCACCCAGGTGCCCTAATTGGCATTTTTAAATGGAGGGAAGCTGGGTGCCAAACAGGACCTGGAGAACAGGGACAAATCCTGTTGTATCCGTGTTCCACAGTACCTGACAGAGGACAGCCCTCCAACCATCTTTCCTTGGTGGAGGAAGAAATCAACCTGTTCGGTACTTTTTCATTCTAGGCCATTTCCTTTCAAGGTGGCCCGGAGTTGGGCACTTTACACCTGAGCTGAGCTGAAAGGTCCAGGTGGGCCCGAGACCATGGGCCCCTCAGCTCATACTGTCTTGATTTGGGCTGTCTGCATGGTGTTCACACCAGACTGAGCTGGGGTGGGGGAGAGAGCCAGATCCCAGGGAGGACACCTCGTGGCTTGGATGTGCCTCTCTGTGTGGTCAGTGAGGAGGGTCCCTGCCTAAGATCACCCAAAGGCTAATGATAAGCAAGTTTGAGTTGGGCCTTCTTGCACCTAGAGTGTTGATAATCTCTGAACCAAGAACCATATCGCTGGGGGACATGCCCTGGTCTTAGCACTTGTATTAGCTGGGTTTGTTGTAGCAGTGGTATTAAGGGACAAAGACACAGGAAGCCCATTAATATACTAAATCCATTCCCATCTATCTTTAAAAAAGGGAGATGAAAAGAAGCTGTGTGGGCCTTTGGGGGCCTTGGAGTAGCCAGTGGATCCTGCTGTGCTCTGAGACTCTTGTTTTTTTCTTTTTCTCCCAGTGTCATGGTCCCACAGCTCCAGGTCCCCATTCTGGATAGGTCCGTCTCCGCCGAGCTGCAGCTCCTTCACCGTGGGCATTCCCACCACAGCCAGTTGGTAGCCAGCAGTGCCTGCCTGTCTCTCTGGACTCCTGTGTTCTGGGTGCTGGCGCTGGCTTTCCAAACAGAGGCACCCCTCCTGTAATGACTGGAGGGGCCAGGCCAAGCCCCTGACCCCATGGACTTGAAGGATGGCCATTCCTGTACTCCACACTCTGGTCTAGCCTTGATAGGCCCAACCCAAGAAAAGAGAGTAAAATGCAGTGTTGGTTCTTCTCTGTCCAAGAATTGACTTTGGGTTATCCAGCAGAGCTTGGGGTAGGTGTACAGTTTTGTAACATAATGAGTTGTATGAAAATAATTATAAATGTATTATATGAAAATAATTAAATACATTTTCTGTCTAGACTTTTTCCTACAACGTGTATATATTATGCAAACAACTCTTGCTCACACCCTCTGGATACTATTACTGCTTCATTCCTGGGCTCTGCTCCTGGGCTTCTGCCACTTTGGATCCTGACCCTGTTCTCCTTCCTGCTGCTCCTCTTCCTACTCACTGCGGGTTCTGGATTCTGGGGAGTCAGTAGGCCGCAGGACCTTTGTTTACTCATCTCTATTTCAGGTCTGTGATTAGGGTACTTCCTGCACTCTGGCAAGCGCTTTAATTACGTATAATGGGTCTCACTGGCATGCTGAAGACTGGGTGAATGGGTGGGTTTTGTCAAAGGGGCTGTGCAAGAAAGTGGTTTCCAAACACTCCCTCTTCCTGTCTTGTTATTTATTATTTATATGTCTGTGTCTTATGGGGAATCTATAGAAAATGAATAAGAGTAGAATTGTCTTGGTTGAGTCTGAAATGGGAACTTTTATCCCTACCCCCCACCCCTTCCTGCCCCACAGCAAGGTTTCTTTAGGGGCCTTCAAGCAGCTCACAGAAACCCGGAGGGTCTGCGCAGGACTTGGATGGGACCAACAAGAAACAGATGTGTTTGTTCCTAACGTGGTTTGGGGAAAGCCTGATTGCCTGGGCTTGCAGTGCTGTGATCTTCTCTTCCTAGACTTGTTGTGGGTGCATTCACAGTCATTTCCAGGGCCCAGAAGATTCTGGGGTCTACTTAAAGAGTGGTGTGGTGGGACTCAGGATGCCGTCCTCCACCTTTGCTCCATTCTGCACCGTGCACCCTGTATTGCAGGGGTAGGAGGGTTCAGTGTTCCTGGATTCCCTTGCTGCTATGTTTGAGATTCTCCTAATGAGCTAGATTTACGTGCCTTGGAAGGTGGAAGGGCTCAGAAGACCTTTTTCTTCGGGAGTGGTGGCAGATACGTGGAGGCTCCAGGAGGCACGAGTTTGTGCAGTGGCCTGGCGCTACATTTCCTTGTCCAGTCAGTCGCCTGCTCCACGAGTGTGGTACAGCTGTGAGGTCGGCAGTTTCCCACAGCTCTCTGACCTTGGATTACAGCTGCTGTGGTGCCCGATGTCCACCTCTGACTTCTGCTACAGCCATTCCCATGGCTTAGTAAGCACCTTTTCCTGCTCGGAACGCCAAGAGTAGCCTCGGATTCCTGCTCTGAACTCTAAGGTAATAGAAGTGCTCTTTGCTTTTCCGAGACTTGAGTCTGTTTTTTTTAACTTGGATAGGAATGGGGATGAAGGTGGAAGTAAAATGGGAAGGCAGGATTACTGGGTCTGACCCAACTCTTGCAAATTTCTGTTACGGGGGTGATGTAGCTTAATCCATCCTAGCCAGGTGATTCCCAGTTTCTTGGCTCCTGTTATGGCTGAGGAGGCAAACAGACCCTTGTTGGCAGGGCTGACACAAGATGGTTTGCCACAGTGACTGCCCCATCTTAGTACTGGCCCAACAACCTCTGCTTGTGGTGAGGAGGCGGGCTCAGACCATTCCGGCTGGGACTTGGCTGCTTTTCACGCAGGCTCATCTAAAGTGGAAGGAGAAGCTCTGTACTTGGGCAAGACCAACCTGCACTTCGTGAAGCATAGCAGCTTTTTCTGAGGATTGTAGTATAGCCCCGTGGGGTGGGGGGACAGGCATCTTGGAGTCAAGATCTTGTTATGCAGCTCATTTGCTCATCAGCTTCCCCTGTGTTGGGCTCTGAACCTTAATCATTTCCCAGAAAAGGAAGCACCTGGGACCATGTGACTGCAGTGGACACCAGGCCTTTCGTATTAGCGTGAGGAGGAAGGAAGCCCCTGTGGGTAAGGCATGGCTGAGCTCTGACGGGCTACTGACGGGAAGCTGCCTGACTCACCTGGGGGAGGGGAGCAGGTTTAAGAGGTGAGTGCTGAACCCACTGCTTTCACATCAGAGCTTGAATTAGCAACAGGAAGAAACATTCAAAGTTTATTTTAGGTTAGAAGAGAAAAAACACACTACCCTCTTAAGTCAGATCCAAAGGAAAGCTGTTTTGCTCACATATAAGTTCTGCAGACCTTTGTCCCCCATCAGGAAAGATCTCTGGCCTGGTTCTTTTTTAGCAGGAGGTGGCAACTTTTCACTCATTTAGCTGGCAGAGCAAAGCTGATCCCTTGGCAATCCAGTAATCTCTGGACCGCTTCGAAGGTAAAAGGACAGTAACCACAAAGTTGGTTGAGTGACCTAGTTAAGGATACAAGGACAAAAGGTTTGTTAAAGAATAACCCCTTGATACAGAGAGCACTGTATCAAGATACCTGGCCTGACTCAGTCTGTAAAGATAATGGGTAGCTAGCCCTCTACAGATTTTAGTTTTATGCTCTGTAAGATGGATATGTTAGGACATGATCCTTTAGGCCCTGTCCAGCTCTGACTTTGTATAATGTTGTAAAGGATGTTTCAGATTCTCTGCAGTCTGACTGAGGGAACACTGGACTACGATTCAGCCCTGAGTTTTTAGTGGGACTTGGGATGCATTTGGTAGGTTGGACATCTGTTCATTTGTCCATCTGTCTGTCCATCCATGCATGCTTTGTTTCACCCTGCAGTTGGGCACCAGGGCTCCTGAAATGACTAAGCACAATTGTAGATATCTGGTCCTCAGCTGTGGGGCATCTGAAGTAAGAGGTCACTTTTGCACTTTTGCACCAGGACCAGTGTGAGAAGTAGAGCATTCTGCCCTCAAGATGGTACTGCATTCATGGCAAACCCCATCTGTGTGGAAGTGGAGAAGGTGGTGCTGTCTCCTACAGAGAATGCCTATGTCTTCCCTTTCCTTACTTTTGTATGCCATGCCCTGCATGGTGCCTAGGCAATGCTTGAGTGACGTTTTATAGTACAGATGCACCACACACACACACACACACATCTATACACATATACCTAGACCCACACATACACACATTTATATATGTATTTAACGGTTAGTTTGATTCAGGATTCGAATGAGGTCCATGCCTTGCAGTAGTGATGGGTTTTTATTTGATTTGATTTGAGAGCATGTGAGTGGGGGTGGAGTGAGGGAGAGAGAGAATCCCAAGCAAGCTCCACACCCAGCAAGGAGCCTGAAGTGGGGATTGATCTCACAACCCTGAGATCACAACCTCAGCCAAAATCAAGAGTCAGATGCCCAATCTACTGAGCCATCCAGGTGCCCCAGTGATATGTCTCTTAAATCTCTTTCAGTTGGTAGGTTTCCCCTTCTGTTCCTTTTGCCATCCCATTATAATTGTTGAAACAAACAGACTGTCCTGTCAAGTTTCCTACAGTCTGGATTTTTGCTGACAGCATCCTCTGGTGATTTTAAATGTGTTCCTCTATCCCTGTAAAGGGGTGGTTAGATCTAGGGCATGATCACATTCAGGTTTGAGTTTTTTGGGGCAAGAATACTTGAATAGGTTGTGTGTACTTCCATCAGGAAGCACCTTATATCTGATTTGTTTTTCTTTGTTGGGATATTAGCTGTTGATAATTATTACTTAGAGCCATTATTTCATTAGGGTTAATAATTTTTATTTATAGTTATGCCCCCCCCTTTTAAAATTTTATTAACACATAGTGTATTATTTGCTTCAGGGGTATTCACAGGTCTGTGAATCCTTAGTCTTACACAATTCACAGCGCTCATCATAGCACATACCCTCCCCAATGTCCATAACCCAGCCACCCTTATTTCTCCCCCTACACCCCCCCCAGCAACCCTAAGTTTCTTTCCTGAGATTAAGAGTCTCTTATGGTTGTCTCTCTCCCTGGTCCCATCTTGTTTCATTTTTTCCCCTCCCTTCCCCACCCCCACAACCTCCCACCCTGCCTCTCAAATTACTCATATCAGAGAGATCATATAATTGTCTTTCTCTGATTGACTTATTTCACTCAGCATAATACTCTCGAGTTCCATCCACATCATGGCAAATGGCAAGATTTTGTTTTTTTGATTGCTGCATAGCATTCCACTGTATATATATACACCACATCTTCCTTATCCATTCATCTGTTGATGGACATCTAGGTTCTTTCCACAGTTTGGCCATTGTTGACACTGCTGTTATAAACATTCAGGTGAACGTGCCCCTCTGGATCCCTACATTTGTATCTTTAGGGTAAATACCCAGTAGTGCGATTGCTGGGTCATAGGGTAGCTCTACTTTCAACTTTTTGAGGAACCTCCATACTGTTTTCCAGAGTGGCTGCACCAGTTTGCATTCCCACTAACAGCGTAGGGGGGTTCCCCTTTGTTTGCATCCTCGCCGATATCTGTCCTTTCCTGACTGGTTAATTTTAGCCATTCTGACTGGTGTGTGGTGGTATCTCACTGTGGTTTTGATTTGTATTTCCCTGATGCTGAGTGATGTTGAGCAGTTTTTCATGTGTCTGTTGGCCATTTGGATGTCTTCTTTGCAGAAATGTTTGTTCATCTCTTCTGCCCATTTCTTGATTGGATTCGTTGTTCTTTAGGTGTTGAGTCTGAGAAGTTCCTATAGATTTTGGATACTAGCCCTTTATCTGATATGTCATTTGCAAATATCTTCTCCCATTCTGTCAGTTATCTTTTGGTTTTTTTGACTGTTTCCTTTGCTGTGCAAAAGCTTTCGATCTTGATGACATCCCAGTAGTTCACGTATGCCCTGGCTTTCCTTGCCTTTGGTAATCTTTCTAGGAAGAAGTTGCTGTGGCTGAGGTCGAAGAGGTTGCTGCCTGTGTTCTCCTCAAGGATTTTGATGGATTCCTGTCTTTGAGGTCTTTCATCCATTTTGATTCTATTTTCGTGTGTGGTGTAAGGATATAGTTCAGTTTCATTCTTCTGCATGTGGCGGTCCAATTTTCCCAACATATTTGTTGAAGAGACTGTCTTTTCCATTGGACATTCTTTCCTGTTTTGTTGAAGATTAGTTGACCATAGAGCTGAGGGTCCATTTCTGGGCTCTCTATTCTGTTCTGTGGATCTGTGTCTGTTTTTGTGCCAGTACCATACTGTCTTGATGATTACAGCTTTGTAATAGAGCTTGAAGTCTGGAATTGTGATGCCACCAACTTTGGCTTTCTTTTTCAGCATTCCTCTGGCTATTTGAGGTCTTTTCTGTGCCATATAAATTTTAATGTTATTTGTTCCATTTCTTTGAAAAAAATTATGGTATTTTGATAAGGATTGCGTTAAATGTGTAGATTGCTTTAGGTTGCATAGACATTTTCACAATATTTGTTCTTCCAGTCCATGAGCATGGAACGTTTTTTCATTTCTTTGTGTCTTCCTCAATTTCTTTTGTGAGTACTTTATAGTTTTCTGAGTACAAATTCTTTGCCTCTTTGGTTAGGTTTATTCCTAGGTATCTTATGGTTTTGGGTGCAGTTGTAAATGGGATCGACTCCTTAATTTCTCTTTCTTCTGCTTTGCTGTTGGCGTATAGAAATGCAACTGATTTCTGTGCATTGTTTTTATATCCTGACACTTTACTGAATTCCTGTATGAGTTCTAGCAGTTTTGGAGTAGAATCTTTTGGGTTTTCCACATTAAGTATCATATCTGCAAAGAGTGAGAGTTTGACTTCTTCTTTACTGACTTGGATGCCTTTTATTTCTTTTTGTTGTCTGATAGTTGAGGCTAGGAGTTCTAGTACTATGTTGAATAGTAGTGGTGATAGTGGACAGCCCTGCCATGTTCCTGACCTTAGGGGAAAAGCTCTTAGTTTTCCCTCATTGAGAATGATATTCACTGTTTGTTTTTCATAGATGGCTTTGATGATATTGGGTTATGTACCCTCTATCCCTACAGTGTGAAGAGTTTTGATCATGTTTGATTTTTATCTTTGATCAAGAAAGGATGCGTACTCTGTTGCTTTGGGATGGAATGTTCCAAATATATCTGTGATGTCCCTCTGGTCCAGTGTGTCATTTAAAGCCTTTATTTCCTTGTTGCTCTTTTGCTTAGATGATCTGTACATTTCAATAAGGGGGGGTGTTAAAGTCCCTTACTATTTGTATTATTGTGGATGTGTTTCTTTGATTTTGGTATTAATTGGTTTACATAATTGGCTGCTCCCATGTTAGGGGCATTGATATTTAAAATTGTCAGATCTTCTTGTTGGACAGACCCTTTAAGTATGATATAGTGTCCTTCCTCTTCTCTTATTATAGACTTTGGCTTAAAATCTAATTTATCTGATATAAGGATTGCCACCCCAGCTTTCTTTTGATGTCCATTAGCATGGTAAATTGTTTTTTACCCCCTCACTTTACATCTGGAGGTGTCTTTGGGTCTAAAATGAGCATATCCATGGGTCTTTTTTTTTTTAATCCATTCTGAATCCCTTTGTCTTTTGATTGGGGCATTTAGGTCACGTACATTCAGGGTAACTATTGAAAGATATGAATTTAGTGCCTTTGTATTGCCTGTAAGGTGACTGTTACTGCATATTGTTTCTGTTCCTTTCTGGTCTGTTACTTTTAGGCTCTCTCTTTGCTTAGAGGACCCTTTCAATATTTCCTGTGGGGCTGGTTTGGTGTTTGCAAATTGTTTTAGTTTTAGTTTGTCCTGGAAGGATTTTATCTCTCCTTCTATTTTCAATGACAGGCTAGCTAGATATAGTATTCTTGGTTTCATATTTTTCTCATTTAGTGCTCTGACTAGATCATGCCAGTCCTTTCTGGCCTTCCAGTTCTCTGTGGATAGGTCTGCTGCCAATCTAATATTTCTACCATTGTATGTTACAGACCTCTTGTCCCAAGCTGTTTTCAAGATCTTCTCTTTGTCACTGAGACTTGTAAGTTTTACTATTAGATGACAGGGTGTGGACCTATTTTTATTGATTTTGAGGGGGGTTTCTCTGTGCCTCCTGGATTTTGATGCTTGTTCCCTTTGCCAAATT